TAGAGTCGTGCGGTCATTCGCAAAATACACCAGATAATATAACGATTATTGTTATCGTTGTTGCAATAAAATAAAACCATATACTCATACCTTGACATATCTCAGAGCGCAGTTTAGTATTCGCACATTTTAAGACAGCGTATACATTTGCAATTAGAGATGTCAAAAATCTCGAATCTCTAAAAATTGTAGAAATTATTCTTTTGTAAAATATTCTCAAGCTGATAGAAATGAAAATGATAAAATAAGATAATAAATTTTGATTTAAAAAAAAATCACTGGAAATATATTTGAATATTTTCATAAAATGATGTTTTAGAAATTTGTTAGGCATTTCTATAAACGTTCATAAGTTAAACTGCAGTTACTCCAACAATTTAAGATGAAAATTTGAACGAATTAAAATTTTTCAAGTTTTAAATAATAAATATAATTGTCTGTTTAATAATACATACATGTTTAACAATATTTTAAAGCACTATTAGTAGGCCTAGTTCACATTATTACATACGTTCAGAAAATCGCCTATAATACTTTGAGAAGTGATTTGGGATTTAAAAACAAGGAAAAAAGCTATATAATTTATTATAGGAAAATAATTGTTTTCGAGTTATAGTCACTTTTATGTTAAAATAATCGTAAATAAATTGTAATAATAATTATAATAAATTATTATTAATATAATTACGACAATCAAAAATAAATTACAATTTTTTTTAAGTTATAACTAATTTTATGTTAAAAAATCATAATTTTTACAATCCTCGAGAATTTTGAGGCAAGATTTTTGAATCCGAGATTAAGACGAGAATACATATATGTCGAGATTTTTTTCGAGACAAGACGAGATTTTACAAAATCTTGTCTTGTCTCGTCTTGCGGCATCTCTACTTGCAACAGTACATTGTGTTACATTGTTCGGTGCAACAAGTAAGTTTTTTATCAGTATGCTCACCTTAAGAATAGAAATGCGGAAAAGAGCGCTGAATAGAAGGAGTCGTAAACATAACGATATTTCCGTATTGTTTATAATAACACTGTATTAAATGTAAATTATTATTTTATGTCCCAAACACATAGATATCTCTCGCTGGCTAATTTAATTACTTCGTTTCTTAATTTTGACAGGCGTCCCTTATTGATCTAACTGTTTTACTCACGATTCAAATTTTTACGACCAAAGTTCGAGCGCAGAAACTAATCCTGCAATTTTTATATTTTTAATATTTTGGCAATTTTTATATTTCTAATATTTTTAATATTTAGAGAACGCATGACGTGATTGTTGCCATGGAAACTCCATTACCATGCAATACTCAAGATGATTGTAGCCGCTCACTATAAAACAGTCATAACTGCGACAACATCGTAATAAACAAGATCCAAATTAAAACAAGACTAATTCAAAATTCAGTATGTTTCTAAAAATAATATTAACTAAAATATATGTTATCCAATATTATTATATTTAATAGTAAAACATAATGTAGCAGTTAAAGAACGAAATAATAGAAACAAGAAAGAAAATATAGTACATATCTTTGATCTATATTATTTTTATTATTTATAATATATTTATCTTTACCAAATACTATGTATTAATATGTTTCAATTAAGTAAAAAGTAAAAGTATTTTTTTATTTACACAAGAACGCGTTTCTATCGTGGCTCGATAATAAAATGCACACCACCTTTTATTCCGAGTCCGATAGTTCTATTATGAAAAAGGAGCGGAATTTGTGTCCGCGGATGAAGTGTAAATCTGTATTTTGACAAAAGACTCACGAGTGCGACTTTCATTTGCATATAGGCAAATCGCGAACCTGAAAATTAGTGGTTATTAATGCATGATTTGCGAGATATTTTCAAATTATAACTTATTAAAGATCTTACGAAGCTTTATTTAAATATATTTAATTTAATAAGGATCTATCATTTTCTTTATATCGCCTTAAAATTAACTTTTTAAAAAAGAGCGCCAAGTATTCGCGCCTCAAAATATGTAATGATATGAAACAAATTTATTTTACTAATCTTTACTATAAAAGTAGTAAGTTTAGTAATATTAAATTTTGAGGCAACTAAATTTATATAAAATTTAATTTTTTATTATCGTACTTAGCAGAATAAAGTTTATTGCAAAAGAATTTAGTATTGAACATAAAAATTTGTACATTTAAAGATTTTAGGGCTCAAGAATAAATCTACAACAGTAAAATAGCCTATACGAGTCTCAACACAAATGTTGGTGTGTAATAATGTTGCAATATCCAGCCAAGTTGTTAATTAATTTAACTGTTACAAGTGAATTCCGGTCTTATGTAATGAACTCTATTTCAAGACCGATGAAAATGGAGTGCGCAGTTTGCGTGTGGCTGGATATTGTAAAAAATTATTTCACACAAATTTAATTCTATCATTAATATGTTTATCAAAATAACAAAATATTTATGTAATATGTAAATTAAATTATATTAATGGATTCATATCTTTACCAATGCAGTTGCGTGGACCTTCCCCGAATGGCAAATAAGCATATGGATGTCTTTTTGCTACCTCCTCAGCATTGAATCGTTCAGGATCAAATTTATCTGGATCAGGGTATATCGACGGATCTTGATGCAGACCAAGCACTGGTATTGATATTAATGTCCCCTTTGGTACGCGAATGTTCATTGTCGGTATGTTAAATTCTTTAGTGCAAACGCGATTCAAGACGGGTAGATTTGGATATTTCCTCATAGTCTCTGTAACATGTAAGTATAAAAAATAAATGAGAATACGTCTACTTCAAAATAAAAGCAATTTATTTAATATATACATATAAATAATAAGAAATTTTGCGTAATAAATTCTTTCTCCTTTGTTGAAAATTGCGTCTACGAATAAGTGGCAATATTATGCGATACAATATACTAATATACTTGCCATTTAGTACTTTGTGAAGATATGTCATTTCGTTTATAGCATCATAAGTCAAATCACCATGTTCTTCCAACGTTTCATCGATTTCTTTCCAAAGTTTATCTTGTATGTCTTTACATTGAGCTAATTCATACAGCGCAAACGTTAATGTCGTTGACGTGGTCTCGAAGCCACCTATGAAGAAGACATAACTTTGCGCTGTAGCTTCCGCCATAGTAAGTTTATTTACGGTTGCTACAAATAAATAAAATAACATAGTTTTACTAATGTTACTTATATGGAAATATGTATGAAGAAAAAATTTATAACTGTCTGATTTGAATTCAATGCAAAACTATGCATATTTTTACAATATTTACAATATATAGCAAAGTTATTAATATATAAATAAGTAAAAATATTAACGTGACACATCGGTGATTTCATCGTCATCGTCAGGGTTAACGTAACCCCTCTTCATCAGTTGCATAAGTAGATTCACAAAGTCATGCCTAACGATATTGTGAGCTTGCCTGTATTCTACAGTCTCTCGGAACATATTTATATAAAAATTGGTGACGCATCGGGGCGTGAGGGGGACGGACAAGAAACTCATAATCTTTGGCACAAACATAAACAAAGCAATCCAAATTGGATTCATCACAAATATTTTCCTTCCATAAGTTCGATAATCATTATTCGGTTCCACAATACAATTAGATTTAATACCAAAAGCCGTTGACATAATCACGTCGGTTGAATATCTATTGGTAAAATTGATAAAAAATTTTTAATGAATTTTAGCAAATTTCATTTGTAAAACTCAAGTATGTTGAAAAGTAACAGAGAATAAATTCATACAAATAAAATAAAATTAGTATATGAAAAAAACATAATACTAATTAAACAAATAATACTGAAAATCAGATTAGAAAAGACTATTAAAGTATGGAAATATCTAAGAAGATTTAAATATTTATCTAAGAAAAGTCTTTGAGGTACTTTCTAAAATAAAATAAAAAAATATTTCAGAGCTTTATTAAAAATTTTTGGTAATATTATTAAATAATTATTTATAATAAATTTTTATTAAAAATAAAATAATGTTAAGTAGTAAAATAGTTTGAAAAATCTAATAAAAGACATTTTTAAAGTAAGTAAATAATAAATTTTTAATTTTAATGCATATAATTTGTTACGTTAGTTATATAAAAAAACAAGATTGTATTTGATATTGAATTTAAAATTGAAATAATTTAAAATTAAACTAAAGATCATCCAAGGAAAAGGTGAACAATGAATAATTAGATAGTGATCTTAATTTTAAATTTTAACTTTAAGGTGAATATCGATTTATTCAGATAGTGATATAGCTTAATTTGGAACACTATAAACTCCTACCAGAAAAGATACGTGTTTTTTGACTAAGATTAATGAAATTGATTATGTATTGAAATTTTGTACTTGCTGCTGAAGATTCAATATAGTCGAAACATTCCGCTATAATAATATTGTACAAAATTATACAATTATATTGCAACATCTTTATTTGTTAGTCTTTTTTTCCTTTAGTTTCTACTTTATAAAAAAGGAATGTATTTAATGATAATATAAAGATTGAAAACGAAGGTACAACGATGTTTTAATAGTAAAAAATCTCAATTTGTAAATCGAAAATGTTTAAAATATTTCTCTAATTTTATTTTATATATTATTTTGTGTGTTATTTTATATTTGTATCTCGCACAATTTACGAAATAAATTGTGTATAAAAGGTTTGAACATATTGTGTACAATTTTCTCATTAACTTATCGGCAGACGAAATATTTCGTTATGTGCACTTACATAATTTTAACTAATATTATCCTCTAAATTTTTTATATGTTTAGATTCTCTGAAACCAAATTCTCTGAAACTAATCGAGTCTTCTCAACCATATCTAATACAAAATAAATTTTTTTTTTTCAGTAAAAATGTCAAAGCAGGTTAGGTATTATTTACTGTATCTTTTTAAAGTTTTTCAATTCTGTATCTTTTGCATTAAATTTTTAAAGTAAAATTCTGTTAAAGTTAATTTTATTTGTAATTAACTTAAAACAATGTTATTTTATCTTTTTTTTTTATATCTAAAATTTTGCAAAAAATTCTGTTTGTAGACCGCAATGTGTATATGTCAAGTTGATAAAAAAATTATGTACAAAAGATATGATGATCTTCATTTATATTTGCACAGGAAATTCTTATTTTCAAATTAGAGAGTTTTTTATTTCTTGTTATTCGAAAGAATTTCTTTGTAATAACAGTTTTAAGAAAAGTTTACCTTTTAAACATATCTTTCATCTCGACGGAATCTTTTATTCGTGCTTTGCTTTCTAGAAACATTGTGAATTCTTTGCTATGTTCTTTTATAATCGAGAACATCTGTTTCATTTTTCCCGAAGTAAAAGTTGGTGTTAGCTTGATGCGTAAATTTCGCCACTTTTTTCCAGGTAGAAAAAACAAATGGGCAGCTAACGGATCGATCTTTTCGTTGCAGTACATTCCACGACTATGGAAACTCTTAAATTCCTTTGTTAACACTATTCGAATGAGATCGAGATCGGCAATCACCAAATTTGGTTTGAAAAGCATATACATTCCAAAAGCACGATGGTGTTTATATTTCATGTAGGCATCACGAAAAATTACGCCTATACCAGCAAATTTTATATTTAATTAATTCCGTGATTTCTTATTTTAAATTTGAAAAACAATTATGGAAAAAATTAGTTAATTACAAAAACAATAATAATGTAAGTCATTATTTTTATTCAACAAATATAAATTTATAATAATTATAAAAAATTATAAATAAAATTTATTTTTAATCATAGCAATTATAATTTTATAAAACGTAAAAATATACTTACATAATTATACGCATAAATAATCCTAATTTATAACATTGTACTATATTTTATGTTTATCAACTAACTTTAAAAAATTTTAACTTAATCTTTTTAAATTAAATTTTTGAATGAACAAAGCTTGTCAAGAGTTGCATACGAGGAAATAAGTTTATATGTATTCACATACTGTGCATGTTAATATTTCATAAAAATACTTGCCTATTTGTACCTTTCCAGTTATTAAACTTGTTACATTTCCAGTTGGTACAACGGGTTCGACATAAAAAACACCTTTCTTGCGCCAGAAACTGAATATCACAAATTTATAATAAATATACGCAATGCCCAGAGCAACAATGAAAGTCCCGATTATTTCCGCAAGTACCATAGCGAATCTGAAATATAACGATAAATAATTCATTTATAAAACATTAATATTAAGCAAAATGTTGTATATGTACTTCACTGCTTCTAAGTTAACATCATGTAATTCATGCAGAAGTCCAATCACTTACATGTCACGGAGCACTCGATCGTGGTATGTCCGCTTTCCGCGATGGCTCTATCTCTCAAATGATCTTGACTGCGATTCGAATTTATCTCCAAAATTAAAAGTGGAATCCGTGCCAGTTACGTAGCGTGCGTACCACTTACATCACGTGCGTAGTTTAAATTGAATCTAACACAAGATTTAATCAGAATATTAACTTTTAAATTTTTTCTATATTTTTATAGCTTGCATCAGACTACAAACAACTTGATTGGCAACTTGCTATTCCTGATTTTCAGAAATTCGCTGTTTATTAATGTAAACTTTGTACTCTATTTGGAAATTCATAATTTATTATTCATGGTTTACGATTCATAATTCATCAGGGTAGCTGACGATAATTAGTTTTTACTTTTGTGGTCTTGAATATTGAATCGTCCATAATTCATATCACAGTTTAAATCTTGCATATCATATTCATAGAAAAAGATTTGTATAATAATATTCAAAACATAAATGTAAAATTTATGAGCTTCAAAAAACGGAGTAGAAATAAAAAAACGTTGTTACAACATATTCGCAATTTATACATACAATTTTTTGAACAAATGCACAATTGTTTTAAAAGATAGAACTAATAATGTGTAGTTGTATTGCAGGGCATAACAATGTTACAACGATTCCGTGTACTACACGGAACATTGTTGTTTAAAGAGTAAAGGAAAGGGGGCAAATAGGGACGGATTTTTCCCCTACAAGTTAATTTCAAGTTTACAAGATATGATTTTTCACTAAAAGAGTACTTTTTATTTTCAAATATACAAAAAACTTAATTAGAGTTTTCATAAATCATGTATACGGATTAGATTTTCTTAATAACTGCAACTTATATCTATTTGCCCTACTCTATGGATAAACAGTAAATACTAATAAATAGTGACACCCTATGGGACAATTACAAAATACATAATTCTTAACTTCTAATCGATCTTTCTTTTGACATTTGGATTAGATAAGGTAATTTATATTAATTTCTATACTTTGCCATATGTAAACTTTTATTTATTGATAAATAATAGTAGTATTTTAAAATTTTATTTATTGATAAATAATAGTAGTATTTTAAAATTTTATTTATTGATAAATAATAGTAGTATTATAAATAATAGTAGTACATTATTTGCTAGTATTTGTTATTGAAAATCACATTTATTCTGAATCTCGTCTTGTGACTAATTTCATATTATCAAATTAATTAGAAAAATTATATTTAAATATTAAACAAGCTTTTTAACTTGTCATTATTTACCCAACTAAAAATTGTCATTATTTGTCTCAGGATCTACTTTTTTCTTCAAAATTTTACTGAGAAAAATAAAATTAATATGCAAGCATAGGAAATTATATCAAAATAGAAGAAAATGATATCGTGTAACATAGAATAGGTTAGATCCTATTCAACGATTCAGCAATTAAAAAAATA